GCTTGGCACGCCTTGAAAGACCTTCCTGGTAAGACTTAGTCTAAACGCCTACAATAGAGAATGTTCCATCGGTGATTTTAGGGCGTTGACCATTTTCAAATCGCAATGTCCCCGGGTTGCGTTCACACGTAGTTTTGTCTTATTTACTTACAATTAGTTCTGCCTATTGGCTCTATCAGCACAACTCGTCCACTCATCCTTTGCACTGCTCGCGTGCTCGTCCAAAGTGGATGTCAAAAGACAAGAAGGTGTCCCATTTGTTGTGTTCTCGGCTATTTTTTCGGTTTTTTCTCTCTCGACCATCTATAACTTATTTTCCAATGGGCTGCTTCTCTTGTCGTAAAACCCTTCTTTTTAATGGAGAGTGAATCCCTTTTTAGCACCCCTGTATACTCCTAACGATAACTCGTTAGAAGACATTGAAATTCTGGATAAGTAGAACTTGAACGTTTGATGAGTCCAAAAAAGAGTACTGATCAACGCGCAGCGACTGCCACGTCTTTCGAAAGCAAGAACAAGTGCTGGACCGCAGAAAATCAGGGTCACAACAGAGGATGCCCCGGACAGAGCAATGTGGCAACGGCTGACAAAGACAGCGGACCCTGTGATCGCACGGGATACACGCTAGAAGAACAAGACTGAACATACCTAACATGAGTTATATTGTCACCACTTGTGGCCAGAAACCGCTGCCTAGGAATGCATTTTTGAAAAAACGTTAGAGCTGCTCAGCTGAGATTTTTCATTGAAAACAGGCTGTTTTACTCTTGACATAGCATCCACACAAAAAGTGCTCTACGACTAATTTTGCCGTAGGTGCCTTCCCGGTTGTTTTCGGCAGCCCACCCAGGCTGAAAGAGATTGCATCAGAAATAACTGACTGTATTCCGGAACCGACTTCTTTTTTCCTGTCCACTAAGTTGAGTCACATCCAAGCTGCTACTCCCTAGTGAGTCTTTTTCAGCAGCAATTGCTATGCGTGGTCATCTCGTGATGCAAGGGCATATCGTTTCTTGGTTCCAGAGCCAACTCATAGTGCGAACGCTACTTTTAGCTTTAGCGCCATCCCAGACCTCTTGTTTCCCATCACAAAGGTCTTAGACCACGTTGAAACGACAGCCATAATCTCGTTCTCAAAGCGACTAAGTGCAGCGCCAGCTATTCATGCGGCACCAAAAATGTCCATGCTTTGCCCATTCAGGGGAAAGCAAACAAAGAGTTCATGCACTCTTGCGTTGGCAATTTTCAAAAAATGACGTTTCTGGAGATTTCTTTTGCGGGGAACCGCTGCCAAGATGTTTGTGGGAACCGCTGCCAAGATGTTTTACTATACGGTCACCACCACAGAAATCTAGCGATGCCCGGCCGATATTCTTGCCTACTTCTCCATCCGTTCAAACATGTGAGTTGATAATATGCGACTTCGACGTGTGGCAGTTGGGACAGGGTGAGGCCTGCGTTAGGAATGCTCGACAGGTGCGGTGCGGTCAACAAGGTCCTGCCGGGAAGGAGAGGGTCACAAGAGGGAGACCAGTACTGATCAGACCAGCGGGAGTCTATTCGGAAGTGGATGGGAAACCGACTCGCACCGGATGTCGGTGGCCGGGTGCGATCCTGAGGCGAGTTCAACACGCAATGGAGATGTGAGTTTAGAGAGGGTTAAGAGATTCGGAAGGGCCTGTTCAAAATGAAAGGAATGAATGCACTACATACGAAGGAGTGCAGTTTCTGGGTAACTCCATAAACATATAACCATTCAAGTTGAAACCTTGTAGAACACCTCCTTCGTTAGGAACAGAAAGCCTGTGAATTCCACAGCTCGCTTCACTTTTGTGCAAAATGATCTATAAAAGAAGCTGTGGGCGCGTGACCTTTCCGCGATGGCATGTGGACTGTTCCGCACTTCGGAATGCCACCTGCTTGTTCAGTTTTACTTTTAAAGGACGAATTCACGATTAGAATGAAGGTCGAAGAAGGAGTAATTCACCTAGTTGAGGGACCCGCGGACCTCCTAAGGGTGCGGACTGAAGCGCAATTGGCACCGAAGGAGTTGACCTCGGCGACCTATTAAGGCTCAATCTTGGCGCGGTGGGCCAGTGCACGCCCACCGATCATCTGATCACTCGCCGCAGGTCTATACGTGGCGAGCAGGGTGAATAACGGTCGAGGAAATCCTCGACAGGGGGTCGTATTTGCTCCGATGAGAGTTGGGAGGGGGTCGTAATCAAAAGGTTCATCAACGGACACAACGGTGCTGCTGCCACTTATTTGCTGTCATCATTAGTTTCACAAGTGTTGTAGTTAGCCTAATGCAAATAATATCTTACAACTGTCTGGAATTAAAATTTAAATGGAAAGTGGTTGTTGGTTTGGTTCGTAGTGATCAGTATGGCATAGGAAGGCAACGCGTCCTGCAAAAGAATCGTAGGGAAAGGGCAGCGAGTATCTACTCTAGAATGATGTACATGCTTCGAGAACTTAGTGGAGGAACAGCATCTTGGTAGAAAGTTCAAAACAGGCAGATTCGCAGCCTTCTTGGCATCATCAGATCCTGCAACCGCAAGCGTGTCATTCATCAGAACGGGTTGGAAAGGAAGCGATTTGAATAAAGGAATGATCAGACATCACTATGACCACAAGAGTTATCCTAATTAGTTAATACTGGAAATATCTTTTGGTGTGCTTAAGCAAGTCGTCACTAGGACAAAACACCTTCCCAATGACTCCGAGTGGGGTCACTGCATGGCGCATACAAGAACGGAATGGATCTGCGCCAAGTGCATCATTTTCAATTTACTCCATCGAACTGACGTGTACAGAAGCATTTTGAAGGTGTTCAAAGAAGTTCCCTACTACGGCGAGGGAGTAATAGAGTTTTCGAGTGGCTTCGAAAATTTCCTTGACATTTCCTCGACGCAGATTTCTCGCGAACTAGAAAGCGTTCGAAACAACTGGAGCACCTATCAGAAAGCGTAAATCTTCTACTTTACAACGCTTTCCTCCGATTTTCAAAGCATTGCCAATGAAGACAGCTACTGTCTTCCAACTCGCATGTAAATTTCAATTTCCTCGACAATTCCTCGACGTCTCCCACTCTCGAGAATAGGCGTGCTTAGAAAAACGCTCAGCACAATTTAGAAACTAGAAGTCTTGTGCATTCAAAAGCTGCCTTCACTTTCTGAAATGGTTATCAATGAAGAAAGTTATAGTCCTTTAAATAGGGGGTACATTTGACGATTTTTCCAACTAGCGCGCTCTAGGCACAGCGCGCGACGCGATCGCGGGTAGTTAGCGCCGCTATACTGGAGCGCGAGACTGTTCAACTGTGTAGGGGCAGTACCTCCTTCAATGTTCTACTTTCCGGCCAATGTGGCAAAGGTTAAATGTCTTTAAAGGAAAGAAGGAGAACCTAATCTGAGCAGAATTGAATCTAGCATTTGGATCAAGCCGCATTTGCGTGGCAGCGGCGCTGCGTCCCTCTCGCACATCTGAAACTAGCATTTTTTGATATGAAACCGGATGTGCAGAGGACAAAAAGGGGTCGTATCAGAGTCCATGTTTTGGAGGGGGGTCGTAAAGAGGCGGTTATTTCCTCGACACGATTTTCACCCTGGTCGAGGTCCTTGCACATTGTGCTTTACCCGTAGGAGTTTCATATGACAAAAACACAAAT